TTACACGCCCCACAAAAGACCCTCATGTCAATGTCTACACACAGCAACAGTCACTAAGAACTAAGTTTCGAGCAGAAACAATAGACCGTGCTGTGCTTACACGCCCCACAAAAGACCCTCATGTCAATGCTTACTCACAGCAACAGTCACTAAGAACTAAAGTCACAAATCAGTTGCGATGTGTTGGGGATGGGTAAAACCCGGGAAATTTGAACAAAAACTTGAGACAGATCTCAGATGTAAGAACTGTAGATTTTATGTTGTTAAGTTCATTGTAACCTGTACATACTACTCAATCCCTAAATATAAGGGATGTTTATGTGCTTTAAAAAGTGACCTTATAGTTTATAGCACAGTTATTACATTAACAGGGGTTGTCTACTTTCCTATAATTTTTCATAACCAAATGATGTATATATAGTAGCCACTTATGTAATTATAAATTGCAGTCAAAATTGAAGACTTACCTTCGTTAAATAACCAGGCCCTGGTGAACCCTTCAGGACGTAAACCACGAGGTGTCGGCCATTTAGCAAAGGCCGAGAATCTAGTGTTTACACAATCGTATCTCTCGTGTCTGGGTCCCACTGGTAGTATCCCTTGTGTGCCTCCAGTTTTGGCAACTATGAGGCAAAAACACGAAAAGAGGAGTTTATGTGGTCGACATGATAAGTTAAAACATGAAATATCTACGGTTTACGACATTGCACTAACATCTCTGCTACATGGTGTAGATGGAATACGCTAAGAACCAAGGTTCGAGCTGACACAATAGGATGTGCTGTGTTTACACGCCCCACAAAAGACCCTCATGTCAATGTCCACTCACAGCAACAGTCACTAAGAACCAAGGTTCGAAGGGAATTGTCTACTTTCCTATAATTTTTTCAAAACCAAATGATATATATATATATATATATATTAGCCACTTATTTAATTAATAAATTGCAGTAAAAATGAAGACTTACCGTCGTTAAAGAACCGAGCCCTGGCAAGTTCTTTAAAAATACGAAATGGCGGGCAGATACAACAGGTCGGGATTATTGTGTTTCCAAAGGCGTATCTCTCAGCTCCAGTTTTGGCAACTATGAGGCAAAGACATAGAAAGACGAGTTTAAGTGAACAGGCCTTCAAAGTTTATTAGTTAGTCGTAATTTTTTCCTGACTTAACCATTTCTACAGAACAGACAGGGTTAGAATCATGTTAATTGCCACATAAATTAATGACACATACTTGATTCCCGATTCCTTAAGACCCCCTCAAAGAAGGCACCCAGTACCCGGCTCTCCTTGCCCGGTACAGCTGTTGCCAAGCCCTTGGGTTGCACACTATAACTTAGTGCATTACTTAGTGCTTGTTGACTTGCCAGTAGTGAGAGCGCATTGCCACCAAGGTCAAGTGGTGTAGACCTTGCATTTTCAAAATGAACAATAGCGAGTATGCTGAAATTAGAAAGAGGATCACCTGTGGAAAGAATTAGAACATTACCTGTGTCAGTCCCTCTCACCAAAGGACAATGTGGGTAGAAATTGCGATGTCGCACAGCAGGGTCATCCCAACGAGCCCACTCTTCACCAGAATAGTAGAACCTAGCGCGTGCAAGGCGCGTGACAGGCAGAGGGACCGAACAGGGTATTATTTGAAAGGTCCATAATCTGACAGCTACATTACAAAAATCTTCTCTGTTTCGGAAAGGTGGGCGGACAATTTGCCTTACGGAATAACTTCCCCTGGATATAAACAGGAAACGTGTACATTCTCTATGGGTTGCGCATAGCGCCACCACTTTTTCCTACGGGGTGTTTTACTCAAGAAACAAGCTTTGCAAATACAGACTTGACATTTCATATGGAATATTTTTTTCCAAATAATTTTTCATCAGGTTTTTCCTATTTTGCAGACTGATAAATGAAAATAGGGATTTAAATCGTGTTTTAATAACTTTTAATTATCTCTTTGATGTCATTGAGAAGCAAACAAAAACACATTGCCTATTCTATGTCATACAACAACCATTAAAAGGGATATTTTAGACCTGCATATTTTCTAAATTTTTGTCTGTAAAAGAGGTAAACGCTCCACAAAAGGACCCTGATGTCAGTGTCTTGTCACAGTAACGGTCGCTGTTACGCCTGACTTCTTCTGGCTGCTACCAGCACTCTCAAGTGGCAAGGCATTGAATGGGATAGGTTTTTAAAGTTCAATCTGGAATAATATTCCAGGCATTGGTCAAAATCTGCCCAATTTGGTCCAGTTTTGTTGTAGGACACGTACATGTAGACCATTGATTCGGAGAGGAATGGCCTACCCACATATTGTCTAAGTGGTTCAAATATGGCGATTTTGATGACCAAGGTAGCTGCTCATTCCCTTGGTTCTGTAAGTAAACTGCTATTAAAAGTGTTCTGTATGAACCGGCAATCTCACCGTGCAACCTAAAATTGTTCCTAAGTTGTCCCCTATCAAATGATAGCCAAGTGGTTCCCAGATTATTTCTTTATTTGATCTGGTTCAGGTTTTCGTCGATGACTACCATTAGTGTTTTGGCACCAATGTGGTATCCACTCCAAATACTGACGCTGTTAATGACCTTAGTCACTTTAGACGCGGCACACGCTTCGTCGTTGGCCTCTTCTGGATGTCTGTAAACTCTGTTTTGACTGTTGAGCGGTACAGGTGAAATCTGACCTCAATAAAGAAAGCCACGAGATTTCTGTGTTCAACCCAGAAACAGTCAAGGTACCCAATTCAATAGAGAAACATACAACGATGTTTTGCTGTTTACAGTGGGTTCCTCGGAGGTCGTCTGGTATTCTAACCTGCTAAAACCAGTTTGGTTTTCGCTAAGGGCCTTGAAAAATGCATTTTGGTGGTAATTTACCCCTCATTCTGAACGGACTAGGTGGTTTTTGTTTAGTTGCAACAGCATATCCCGAAGGACAGTGGGTCCTGTACCCTGGTGGTAAGATTTCAATACATTGGGTGTCGCCTCTGTGTAGGTACATCCGTCTGGGCATTACTCTGTAAAACTGTGCGGACCGTTTCGTTTGGCGCAATTACCTGTCTGGCAATGAATGTCTTTTTTGCGCCATTCTGCCGCAGATTAACAAATTTGTAAAGCACTGCATAGCTCATTTTTCACACTGCGAACCCGACCACTTGCATGCAAAATTTCAAATTCTTCTATGCAGTAGTTGCCGACATATGGATACTTTTTTGACAGAACCATGCTTTGCCAAAGCCAAGCTTTGACCTACCCAAAGAAGCACTACCCAATTAAATCACTGCACATTACATAATGCAGCTGCGCAACAAACCTGGTAATCAGTTAATTGGTAGCGACACACCTGACTACACACTTCTCCATTCACATATCTTATATGAGATCGGAGTTTGTGAAAAAAAAAACGCATTTTCACCTAGGCATACATTCGAAACTGAAATATTCCATATTAAATGTCAAGTCTGTATGTAGAAAAAACTCGCAAGGTTATAAATGAGTGACAGCAGAGTTTGCCATGGAACACACGTAAAATTAGGCTTACCTTCACATCTGCAATATCGGAAAAGATAATGCTCTATAGGTGTACCTGTACGGTTTTCCATGAAGCTGGAAGGCATTTATAGATAAACCACACACGTACCCTTAGCACTATAACTCTCAAAGCTAAGATATCGGCTGCAAGGTCTTTTCCAGAGTAATCTCCTTTAGGAGTATGGAATAAGGATGGCAACCTCGATTTTGCACCTGCCAGCCATCATTCGTGTTGTCGATAGCAACATAGCGTTTTTCTGTGCTTACCGACCAAGAAGTTGAGCGCTTTTAACTGAATGTTAAATGTCTCTTGTTCAATACAACAACAACAACAACAATAATAATAATAATAATAATAATAATAATAATAATAATAATAATAACGTCTATTTGGGTCAACATTCATGTTGGTGCCAAAAACTCAATAATGGAAATCTGATCAAATACAGGGATATTCTGGAAACCAGCTGCCTCCCATTTGCTAGAAGGAACCTGACGAACAACTGAAATTTTACGATGAAAATATGCTTTTACATAGAGGGCCTGGATCTGCAGATTGCAGACGGAAATGGATGAGCAGCTACCTCGACGACCAAAATTGCCATTACTCGCCGAATCAACCGTCTGCTGGTCTCACAACAAACCTGAATCAAAATGAACACATTACAACCGATCTCCAAACTCTGAGAAACTTGTCAAAAAAAATAACCTGAAAGCAGCCAGATTAGGCCAGATGCGCCGTTGCATTGACCCTTGCTGTGAATAGAAAATGATATCAGCGTCCTTTGTCGAGCCTAAAACTCTATCACATGTGATAATTTGGAAAATATGAAAATTGAGACAACTATGTCTCTGATTGGATAAGAATAACATCTATCAGCTATCAGTATATTTTCACTGTCAAGATCCATCTATAAGAAAAGTAGTGGTTTGTGAGAAATATATTGGACTTAAAGCATGTCCAGCACGTTTTGTATAAAATTAAATGTTGAAAGATACTTACGACGGATCACCCAGATGCAAAAGAACACCCCCTCTAAACAACGCCTTCATAATGCCTGGAAAATATGAAAGATAAATAAGTAATGACAAGACATCAGTCAGTACTGGATTTGCAATAATAAGGTAGGTACAAATACCAATCAGCCGATGAAGAACACAACACTGAGATATATTTCCCGAGTGTGTCTGTATGTGCTCTCCTAGCTATATAATCAATGTTTTTAACGGATCGTATATTATCAAATATATGTAAAAAATATATAAGATTACCGCAGATTACCCTTTTATATTTAATATATTCACGGGGTTCAGTCAAGTAGGTTTTAAGGGAACCTAGCTTTTATCATATATAACCAAGTAAAAGGAAACAATTGTGAAGGTTATTTGTCGGATGAATGTCACCTGTAAGTAAAAGGCGTAACACAAGCCCTTTAACGACCTTCAGCCGAAAGAGATATCTTACAAAACGGTATGTAAAGGCGATTGGGGTGTATATATAGTAATTATTATTATTCTTATTATTATTATTATTATTATTATTATTTTAAATATATACCAGATAAAGCTAAACATACTTAAAATGACAGTTCACTTCATCAGGGCTGTTCTGGTACAAACTGTTTTCGTGTTGTGAGTTCTACTTTGTTGAGCTCAAGATTGCTGTGCCAAGTCTCATGATATCTGGTGTTATGCGACACCTGTTGTGAAGCGTAAACAACACATATACTAATACACTACATTTGAGATAGACCAACAGACCTCTCTAACCTACCATTACGAAAAAGAAGCCATGCCATTGGACAATGCGACCTCTGCGGTTACGTCATTTCCTGAATTGGATTGTAGAGAGGACCAATTTAAACATCAGAGGTGCAATTTGGATATACGGTTTGATTGTGCGTATGCCATGCACGGATTTTACAAACGAGCGACGGGATGATGTAGCCTGCAGTATTTGCGGTAAGCGTGCCAAGCAGTATTTTATTTCGATTATTTCGATTATTTCGGTGCATTTCACGGGAGCAGCAGTTATTAGAAACTGAAACTAAAAACTCTCTTTAATTTTGGAACCGTTGATGCTAGAGACCTCTTGTTTACTGCACTTAATAGAGCATGGCACGCCCATCACTGGAAGTGGTGTCCGCTTTTTCATTTTCCATACAGTTAACAAGTTTCGACATATCAAAAAGTACATTGTGGTGGTGAAAATATGCATAACATTTTGAACATTTGGAAAAAGACAACATAAGGCATAGCGAGGCAGACAACTTCTGGTCAAAAATGATATTATTTCATGAAATTCGAATATCTGGAATTTCTGCGCACCTCCCATTTGATGAATTTCAACAAAAATGACATGTTCTTTGTTTCAATTAGTTTCTTTAGTACGAACTTTGTGGCACGTAATTGTAACTGAAAAACTATTTTAAAATGCATCTCTGTTCCTACGCTTTTTATTCATAATACTGAAAGTATTTTGTTAGTTTACGATGTCATCGCTCAATTGCACCTAATGGTGCATTAGCCAGGATTCTTTTATAAGTGCCGACATCCCTTCCCTGTTCACGAATGACTAGGGACGACAGATGTTAATTGTCTCTTGCACTTCGTGTAGATCCGCATTTTGCAACCCGGCGCGTTTTGAAACTGCAACGCATTTTGCAACCAAAGAAAATTCTGAAAACGCATTTTGCAACCATGGCCCGTTTTCGTCAAGGCTGGATAACTCCTATGGATAACACTATCCATGGTATAAATTTCTCATACACTGGATAGTTATCTTCTGTATAAATTTGTGTTTCACAAAGGGTGCGTAAACATAATGATAGTGGATAAAATAAAATATCCAGTGGATAAAATTTACCCAATACTATATTTGGAAAAAAGACATTAAGAGAGCCATGATATTTGCTAACAAAAATTGATCTATATCACATTTGGAAAATAAATTACCCAAAATAAACAATCTAAGTATATTTCAAGATGGTAAATACATTAAAATAATGGGTATAATATTTACAGGATACTGTGGTGTCAGTGTCAAAACAGACCACATTACATTGCTTGTGCTTCATGCAATATTTACAATTTTCAGTGAAATACGAGTGTGTGAAATAATAATCAGCCATCCTCTCGCGATATACTCACTTACAAGTAAGTGTTGAACACATCTCGATGACGTTCGAGCTGTTCTGTTACTAATATACATATCGTTCGGGTGACAGTTAATTATTTTATACTTGGTGCCTTGATGATCATTGGGAATATTTGCACAGTAGTTATAGAGACATAATATGCAGTTTGAGACTGTAAATGAAACGTGTATAATTGTATGATAAATAAATTGAATGTGTCTGTTACTGTTTATACATGCATTTTTACTATTAGTTCTAACATTCTTCTGAGCGCAAATTTCCCCTTACATATGGATCACGGATTTTCCATTTTAATTCTTTGTATTTTTAGGTGAAAGAAGAAAGCATATGCTCTTTTGCGTACAATTATCCAATGAAATTCGGCCACGGCCTCGTATAATCTCCCTCGAGTTATTAAAGGAATTCTAAAATAAATCAACGTTAAAAAATGATGATGTTTAAATCAAACATTTAAAATCTCGCCTCATCAAAATAACTATTGTATAACAACAACATATAGTGCGTTTAGTTCTTTGAAATGGAGAATAAATAAGAAAAACAGTTGTATATAGAGTAACATCGCTGCTGAGGATACGAACCTACGTCTCTCTACGCTGTTGGCTATTCATCCAGCCGTCTTACTGATGAGCCTGTGTGGAAGCTGCTGCCAACCAACCGAAAATTACCGATACTTATGGCCCCGTGTTTATAATTATTGTACGGACATTAATTATGTAGGACTTGCGTTTCTGTGTATATGTGAAAGGAAATTATGTCCGACAGGAATACATGTCCTAGCTGCGTATAAATACAGCTGGGAATCTAGGTCCGGGTAGGACAGTACATCCTAGGGAACGCACGTCCATAGGACATGTTTTCCCTGGAACGGAGGTCCTACGGGGACATGCATTCCTTTCACCGGTTTAGTCGATAGGAATTTAGTGAGACTCCCCAGGAAGACTGATCCAAATGGATCGATCTAGGCATGGGGATCCAACCTTAGTAAGTATCAATAAGTAAAAAATGCACAGCAATGTTTGGAAAAACAAACGTGTTATATATATATATATATATATATATATATATATATATATATATATATATATATATATATGTGTGTGTGTGTGTGTGTGTGTGTGTGTCATTACAAAATGCCTCTCTCCTTCTGGAGCATCTTACCATGTGTTACTATGCAAAGATAGCTAAATGATGCGTGACAGAGGGGTCACAGAAGTCGGATCGTAGTCTACCTACAAATACAGAGCTATCTGCAGTCCAAATCTAAAAGACAAAATTAGCTAACAAAACCACGCTCGCTTAGTGCTGTGACTATCCACGAGTACTGCAACTTTCTGGACACATGGGTGGCTGGCTTACAAATTTTAGTCTTATTTTCTAATCTGTATACTATGCTAGATATTCATTTGACGTCAGATGGTTGAGTACTGCAGGGATCGTTGAATCACCGAGACTTCTTTTTCTTCATATTGTTGCACAGCTAGCATAGCCCCTTTTTTACACGCAAAGCCTATTAAACAAGCGAATTATACTTCTATAGGCCCATATTCACATGACTGTGGAAAATTCCGTTGGCATTCCGCCAGCATTGATCGAAATCCGGAAACTCCCCATTGTTGGTTTTGACGCGGAAAAAGTCCCTCAAGTTTTTTGCGTGGAGTCTTATTTTGCGCATGCAGACCAACCAAGCTTCTAATCTTATCAATGCGTAGTTCATTGTTGATTTTATGTGGCTGTTTTCGCATAACACTAAGATAGGCTGGCAATGTTTCAGCAAAAAAATCGACTTTACACCGACGTACTCTTAGCAAAACTAAACGAGGACACCTTGCATTCACAAAAGTGTGTTACTTTCATATATATATAGTTAGTACAGCGTTGTCAAATATTGTTCAACTGCTGAGCAGGATCAGACAATACATTAACTTTACATGGATTTTTATATTCTCTAGGTTGTTTCCGCTATCAAAACTACCTACGTCATCTTATTATTTCTGACATAACACTCCGCAGCCTTGTTAAATGACACGATTACTTACCAGTTCGAAATTATCCTAACAAATGACGTCGCGCTGTCACGATTTTTAGATAAGGGGACTTTTGGGGTATTCCCCTTTCTATCAAAAAATATATATAGTTGTCGAGCGCAACAGAGGTGATTTTTCTGACAGTAAGTCAATATAAGCAGCACTCTAGTGTAACCAGTGCCAAGGACGCAGGACTGTGTGATTACTGATTCTATATACAGCTGTCGAGAACAACAAAGGGGATTTTTCTGACAGTAAGTCGATATAATCAACTGATATCGTGTTATGGTGACGTGGCATAAACATCATGAGTCATGGCTATATCTGTTCTGGTGATATTAAGTGCTCTTATTAAAATCGCGAGTCGCTTTCGCTTTATATTATGTACACTATGCACGAAACATCAATAAAACCTGACTACCAAATCATCAACTGTACCTGCTTTGCTTTTAACAACGTGTCATATCCGGATTTGAAATAGGTAAATTTGCATCTGTATGGAATTTTTCAATAGGGTCCAAGAGGTACAGGATCCTATAGCACATATTTATCCCACTCTGGCTCTATGAAATATTCCATCTGGCGCCTTGTAGGAAGTTCATGTCTTCTAGGACATCCGATAAAATATATAGAGAGTCTCATAGAGGTCTGTTGAAGTACCATGGAGTCCCTTAGGACATAATGTAGGGACATTCCGCAAGGGAGCTACACTACTTCCCCTTTAACATGACACAAAACCACGTGGTTATCGGTTATGTTAACCACTGTGACATTCTATAACTCATATTTATCTGTTCTACAAGTACCACATACAGTGCCTTTTCAAACATTACCCGTTTTCACTACTGCTAATACGTAGTACAGTAGAAGCGGATAATAGATAAATATAATGTTCTCCAATGAACGTTAAATTTCACATTAACAAGAAATGCAAATATTTTTGAAAGGTCAGATGGCACTTATCAGTTCGGCAAGGATACAGTACAGGGTGCACGGTAAGTGATACTATATATAGCTGTCGAGAACAACAGAGGGGATTTTTTGATAGTACGTCAATATAATCAGCTGATATCGTGTTATGGTGACGTGACATAAACATTATGTTTATTCTATATCTGTTCTACTGTCATTAAGTGCTTTATTAAAAAAAACGTGAGCCGTTTTCTCTTTCTTTTTATGTACTATATGCACGAAACCTCAATAAAAGCTAACTTATAACCAAATGTACTAGTTCCTGCTTTGCTTTTAACAACATGTGATATCAGGATTTGAAATAGGTAATTTTACGTCTGTATGGAATTTTCCAATAGGGCCCAAGAAGTTATAGGGTCCTATAGTGCATATTTATCCCACTCTGGCTCTACGAAATATTCTATGTGGCGTCTTTTAGGAAACACGTGTCCTCTAGGACGTCCGATGCATTTTCTATAGAGTCTCACATAGTCCTGTAGTAAGTACCAAGGACGCAGTACAGTGTGATAAGTGATACTTTATACAGCTGTCGAACACAACAGAGGGGATTTTTCGGACAATAAGTCAATATAATCAGCTGATATCGTGTTATGGCGACTTGACATGAACATCATGAGTCATTTTTTCATCTGCTCTCCTGTCATTCATTGCGTGTATTAACCAGTACTTTCAGCGGACTTTGCTAAGAAAGACGTTTATTTAGGAAAATTATAGTCTTACATATCGTACCCACGATGTGAAAGATACAATAAATCTGAATGAACTCGGTAGAAACAAGGTGAGGCCAGTGACCATTTTCGTGTCTTTATTGATATATGAAATTACGCACCATTAAAATGACTTTGACTTATACTCAGTTTCTTTTAATCACCTGTTCTGTTCCTTCATCATCTCTGACATAACCCATTCTCCATTCATATGCATGCTACACCAATAAAATGAAAATACTGATTTGAGAAAAAAGTATTCACGAAGTAAAAGATTGGACAACTTAAAAAAGGACGCCGTTAACTTTATTTTGTCCTCAATGGTTTGCCTGCAGACGTTACAGTTTTGAAGCCCATCTGCGCATGAGACACACGGCAGCAAGGTGTCTGCACGGCAAAAATAATACGACAGCTTCTTGCTCCATACATTTCTTACAGGTGTGCTTCTCTTTCAGTTTTTTTTTTTTTTTTTTTTTTTTTTTTTTTTTTTTTTTTGTTCTCTTCTTGCAGTGACTCGATTTCTGGAGAAAAATTGAAGAATTTTACTTACAGTCAAGTTTATGTATGCTGGATGTTATATCCACAATGGGCACAGGGGTAACACTCGTCGTACGCTTAATAAATTCTAACCACAAGCAACTGCTTTGAGATGATTTGCACAATTTTATATTCAAAAAGAGAATATAGACCAATGATACGAATGAACTGAAATAATCGAGAGTTGGCTTATCTGAAACAAAATAATTACTTGCCGTCTGGGCTTTGTATTTGCACCTGTACCTGAGGGGGGCTATATCCAATAAAAAAAAATTAAATATGAGAAAGGATAATGAAAAAATTATGACCAGTGGAAAAGAAGATGCTGCCAGAGGCAGTAAGTGACAGTTGCTGCCAGCAAAGTAAGCACCAACAGATGGTCCAGTGACCATATATACATGTACATGAACAAAGTGTACACGTTACTCAAGTTTCACATACTCCTACAGTAACGTTCAATTCAGTGTTGCTTTGATAAAAAAAAATATATATGTAACTGCTAAATAATTTGTTGTTACTATCTTCGTCATATAAAATGATGCGATTAACTGTGTTTACCGTGTTGTTTGGCGAATGATGTTTCTTTGTCCTTTGTATAAATGCGTCCCCCTTGCACTGGCGAACAAAGCCACAACGTGGGTAAGTAAGCGCATGCTCGACCCACGGATCCTGTTTAGGGTCCAAATGGCCCAATCCTCCGTCACAGTAGCAATACCTCACGTCGTTACTAGTGCCTGATATCAGCAAATATGAAAATTAAGTTATACCGTTGCATTCCATAACTTCATTCCCCTTTATCGTACTACTGCTGAACAAATCAACATTACAAATACTCACAACAATTCAATTTATAGTTAATATATACTAGTACGTGTCTCATTAAATAACCCCAAAAGACTGATGTGCACTTATTTCGTTAGACACTGCATCTATGGTAGTATTGTTATAAAATGGGGTGTGGAACCCGGTTTCAAAACTGAACATCAAAACTCGGCATTTTGACTAAATGTTCCGTTCCTTAGTTTACTAAAATTCTTCCTGGCTGGCTTGTGTATCATAAATAATGTAAAAGGCCCTTTACTCTGTTTTATCTGTCTAAATTTTAACAACAAACTAGATATTTAATTTGCCTCGGGTTTTGCCTAAAACTGCTGTTTTACAGTCAGCAAAACGAAAACAAACCTCAGTTAATACCTGTAGGACTATAAGCAAAAAACATATAGCTTCCTCGTATATATTAACTTAAACCAAAACAGCTTAAAGCAATAATAACTCTTCGTTTTGGCCAAAAAATGAATTTTCCTGGAGTAAACAACAATTTTCCCATACTTACCAATTGTTAATGAATCCATTTTTACATTCAAAGTTAGTCCCTGGTTTTTTTCTAAAAAGTTTGGTTTTTTGTTAAAATCTCTTAAGAGATTTTAACAGAGTATAGACATCAATGGAGGTCACGTGGTCTAAAGACAAGTTCAGATATCAGAATAAAAGCTATAACTGATGTTTTTGTGGTAAAACAGAATATATTATATTTCTATGAGTTATTCACAAGGTTTTTATTGTGAAATATAGATCTCATACAAAGAGTTATTATCCCTTTAACTACCCTTCTTGTCACGTAATATTTAAGATATCTCTGTGGTTAGGTAAGCTTTAAGTACAATTTTTAATGGAAATGATTAAACAAATACTTACAGGTAATTAAATACTGTACTGGTACGTATAAATTTAATTTCAATATGTGTGTAAATGTCATGTATAAATACCAATGTGATAGAACCCTGCGTCGGCAAGAGTGTCTGGACGCAGATTACAAGATGTCGGCGAGTTAACAAAGGACCGAACCCTGTCGTCTGCGGTGAAAAACTCCTTGTGTCTGGGTCCGTCTTGATTGTGTCCAGCTGTGGCATCTAATGGAAAAGAACATAAATTTTGAATATCATTTTCATAAGTAAATCACATTTCAATTCATGGGATTTCCGCCATCACCTGTACACTACTGTTGTATCTATACTACTTAATAAATATTTAACTGTTAGATTTATTATATTGCTTATGTTAAAAGCCTTTGACAATAAAAAAATTGACAATAGATTGATAGCCAATGCTTACTTTCTAACCCTGTCATGTTTCTTCCCACAGCTTGACCCTGTGATTCTGAAACATCAAGAGGTAGTGGCTGCGACGCTTGGCACTTCCTGAGGGACGTTCCCAACTTCAGTTCCACAAAGTAATGGGCAAGACGGATTGTTCACCTAAAATAAACGTGAAAAGTATTCGTAAGTGCTTTAAATATAATTCTAATGTTCTTGAATGTTTTGCTCAAATCAGCATTTAGTTGACAAAGCGATTTTTCAAGCAGATTTGTCATTTCAATGTTACATCTAACTTTGGAGGGTGCCTTTGACAAGTTCTTGGATATTCACATCCTATGTGTTAGATACAATGTTGATAACTCCTCTTTGCGCAGAATACACGGGGATTGAATTGTGTTAGTGCAAAGATAACATGAACCCTACCTTGTTCCCAATCCCTTAGTACCAATCCACAGAAGGCACACTGTACCCGGTCCCCCGTGCCTATATAGTAGAAACCAGCTCTTGCCAAGTCTCTGGGTCGAACACTTGCTCTACTGGGCCAGTTGCCGTTGGTGAATGTGTCCATTCGGTTAGATTCGATCCTCATATTTTCGTTGAGGGTGCGGGTGGCTATGTTCTCTGTGGAGCGGGCACCATTGATCCCAGCGTAATCCACCGTCTGATATTCCATATGGAGTTCAAACTTCACAATATAGGCCTTCGAACACCAGTTTTCCATTGACGCCGATAATATGTCTGGCGCCCAAGGGGAGGGGGGGGGGGGGCTTTGCCGTTACTACCCCTATTATGTGCCATCGGTGACTGCTGGAATTAACGGAACATTTGTTTGTGTCATTCATGCTATCAACAAATGATGATACTTATACCCCCATCACACTACAGGCGGAATGAGCAAGAATGCCGTCGCAAAGACAATTCTTTGTGCGTTCCTGGATATTCGAAGAGCATTCTAAAAATTCCAAGTGTGTTCCAACATTTTACCCATTTTTCTGGCCGGCCTGAATGTTTTGCTCATTAAAAAAAAAAAAAAAAAAACTTTCGAAGTGCATTCCAAGTGGAAAATTATCGAAGGGCATTTGAATTGGAGGCCTATTCTAACTGCGTTATGACTTTATTCTAAATATTCTCACGGCATTCCCACAACATTCGAAACATTCTGATCACATTCGAGGGAGAAACGAAATGGCAAGACACTTCAAATCCTGCGAGAATGAGCCAGAATGCAACTCGAATGCATCTCGATCCTATTTCAGCCAGCAAACGAAATACACTCGTACGGCATTCGAAGTGTATTCTAAATATTCTGACTGCATTCTGAGAGCATCATTGATATTCTTAGTTTTCCAACTATATTCAAGTTGCATTTGAGAGTTAATACAACTGAAATGTGCACGAATCATACCAGGTGGATTCAAGCGCATTCTGAGTATTCCATGCAGCGGCATTCTTACAAGAATATAGGTCAATTTGAAATTTCTCCCCGAGTGTATATATTACAAATGTTTTTAATTTAGTTATTCCGGATGTTTCTTCTTGATTCTTCCTGATTCCTAATAAGTGTGACGGGGACTCTAGAATCAATTAAAATATTATAATGATGTACTCGTGTATGTATGACCAATCTAGGGTTGTAAAAATCAACATCACAAAAACGTGCCCCAGATTTTACTTAAATTCCAGTCATATTTTGGTTCCTTTACGACGTAATAATGCCAGATTAAGACGTCATAACGTCTACATAGCCTACAAAGCTCACGTTCAAAACAGAAAACAGTTTTGCAGGGTCGTTGAGGCTTCCCTAAAGTTGCTTAACTAGACTCTATCATTTGTATAGCTTATATATATATATATATATATATATATATATATATATATATATATATATATATATATATATATATGCATAATACTTTGGATGAATTTATTTAGAAAACTAATTGACAAACCCTTCTTACCACTGACAAGAGTGCTGCGTCAACATTGGGTCAGGGTTAAAAGCCAGAAATCCAGAAATCTTCATCAAATAATTTTGATTAAAAAAAAAAAAAACGTCGAGTCTCGAGATTTTCTAAGTTTACATTGAAGAGCACAAATTAAAATATAACCTAAATGAGATACAATGTACATATTGACATCAACAATGGTCACCAAACAATTTTAGATATTAAATATAAATCTCAGTCTAAATGACGGACTATTTCTATATAAATTAACTGGTTTTGCTTGCTGAAGGTCACTTCTTGGCTTAATGCCTGTATGCACTGAAAAGAAAATTAATAATCAGACTTTTTTTCCTCTGCGTCTGCTTATGTGAACATATACCTTACCTGAGTATCGTAATTCGTACGAGTTAGCCTGGCGATTCCCTTCCATTTGTTTACCCATGTGCATTATTTTCTAACACGACTGACACTAATACCGCCATACCCCTCTAGGTGTGACACAGCCTATAGCTCGTGCGGTGTTAAACAGGTGTGTTAGTTTTCACCTGTGGTATATTAGGGGGGATCAGGGTGTTCCAAATGGCATTTTTCCCCTCAAAAACACCAAACATTTCGGGGTTCTTTAACAGGTCCTGAACCCAGCCCAAACGCAAGGGTCGGTTTCGTAGCCAAGGCCTGTCATTTCTAAAAAAATAAAAATAAAAAAATGCCCCCGCCTTCGAGCAATCCTTGATCCGCCCCTGATATTGGTATTTAAAACAGTGATTATAAATAAATATTAGATTTAAAATATTAATCTGAGTATATTATTGGTGAAGGTCAATACTTGGCTAACGCGCACTCGTACGAGTGGGCCTGGCGATTCCCTTCCATTTCCTTACGTAAGTGCAATATTTTCTCACACGACACTCATGTCCCTCTAGGTGTCACACAGTCTGTAGCTTGTTTGGTGTTAAACAGACGCGGAAGGAACCTGAGCAGTTTTCACCTGCATACTAAGATACACCCACGGAAGGACTGCACTTTTCAATAAGCTTGTTTATGATGCTTGGTTATCCCCTTTTTTGTGAAAATTCCCAAACCTGTTTTAGTTTCCAATGGCTATTATGTTCTCAATGTGCAGGACAGAAAGGGGATTTTTTTTCTATACATAGGACAGGAGAATTTATTGTGGGGGTCTGGGATTTTTCTGACAGTTTGCCCTGCTTGTATACAAATATATATATAGTCGCCGAACACAAAAGAGGGGATTTTTCTGACAGTATATCAATATGAACATTTGATTCTGTGTTATCGTTATCCACTGGGCCAGCACAATGTCAGCATGACATCACGTCTATATATATATATCTGACCTCAGTTACTGCGTTTTACGTACACATGAACCTAGTAATTTTATCACTTTGCAATCACTATTTTTGGGTCTAAGCAGTATGGCAGAGGCCTAATCCCAATCCAGTTTACGTACTAACCAGCCTATACTATATCCGAATTAAGTCTTTGCATTATTAACCTCATAATGGACATGTTAATTGGTCAAGTAGTTTACAGGTGAGCTGCCAGATTGTTTGTATGACATGTGTAGTTAAATAGGGGATGTCATAGATCAAGACATATAGATTATACTTACAGGTGTGACAAATGAAATATAGTTGTATTCATCTGAGGGTCATTTCTGAAGGGCACTGCATAAATATTTAAAGGGAAAGCATTCTAATTAATAATTTTAATACAGTGCAATAGGATCAATCAAAATAATTTGATTAAAATATCTACTAAAGGAATGTTAATCAAATATGTAACAGTGAAAGATAGCAATGTTTCGCTTGTATAAATCTTTTAATAACCGGTCCCTTTTTTCTACTTTCACTTTGCACCCAGGCTGTGTTTTAACGTGGAAATTTTAAAAAATCTCGAATTTCAATGATCAACCACCTACTGCCTTAATCTTTTCCTTCGGCCCTTTGAATTAACGAACTTTTTTTTAATACAGATATCAAAACCACTAGCCTGCAAATAAATACGTCCAAGTTCTCCATCCATATACGGCGATATCTGTCCGATAGACATCAGCAGACTGTTGCCTGGTGAGTACTGTAGATGTTAAGTGTTTATTTAAATCGAACAGTTTAATACGATAGTTAATGTATACTAGCACAGGCGACCACTGTTGTTGTTTTCATTTATCCTCATCTTAAGATAAATGCCCTTTCATTCCTGAGGATTATTATTATTATTGTTTTAATGTTTGACTTTTTCGGTAAGAAGGAATTCTTGTTTTCTCCCAGTTGACAGCATTAGGCTGTTAGGCCGACTACTCGTTTGTTGGGTATACTGTATGTACAGTATGTCCGCGAGCCAGCACTAGGTCTATTCGATGTATGTTGTGCATACTAGCAGACTTATAACAAATAAGGAACAGATGTTAAATCCCACTGAATGGTTTATAGCCAATATAAACATGCTATATTTCACGTCTCAGTAGACATCGATAACACAGCATTAGGCACTAATGTTGACATACTATCAGAAAAATCCCCCCTTTTGTGTTAGACGGCTATGAATAGTATTTCCGAACGCACAGCTGACTTAGGTGCATTAAGCCTGTGTACCAATTACGTGTTGGACGCACGGTTTTTTAGGTTCCTTGCATCCGGTGTGAACGGAATGCAGGTCCGCTTGGAACCTACGGACCACCGTTCCTTAAGCCCCCTTTACACTGGACGGCGTCATTTCTACGTCCTTTGGTACGGGCCCGTTTGAGAGTAAAAAAAATAAGAAAAATTTACGTGCCGAGAACTGGCCGATTATTAAGTATTTATTCTGCAACCAAAGCAATGCTTGTTCCTCCTTATTACGACCACAGCGATGCCAGTTTCATCTATATCACAAAGGACGCAGAAAGGACGTCGTCCAGTGTAAAGGGGGTTTTAGGAACAGTAGTCCTAATTGGACCTGTATTCCTGATATAAATATGGATAGGACTTCTATTCCTGGCAAACCTGCATTCCGTTTACTGGAGGTCCGCCCTATATTTATGTTCGTCCCTTTATATTACTACTAGGTGAAGACCATTGACATGAATAGTATGCTTAAGTGAGCATATACAATTACTCCGTAAAATCGTTGGTTTGCAGGTTCATCTCCCTGGTGTAGTGATTAGGCAGTGTAACAATGTGCGTCCATAACAGTATCTTAGAGTAATCTGATGGGAGTTCGAATCCCTCTAAAACTGAAGTTGCGTTTTTAACTTTTGCGTGATTTTTATGCCTTTGTCATGTTTGCTGGTCATTTTACTTTGTCACGTCGGATAATTTTGATTGGTTACAGATGTCACGCGCTTTCTTGCACTACTTTACATACGCTCACATTCTTTTTCCACACCCTCACTTGACATTGGATATGGAAGGGACGAGCAGCACCCGTGCTAGACCCAACATAGAGGTTATATTTCAGTATCTCCAAGAGGGCACATACCCGATAGGCACAACACCGACCCAGAAAAGAGTAAATCGAAGAACTAGCAAGTCGAATTATAAAGTAAGCTTTCATTTACAGTTAATTTTCATAATGTTCAAAATAAAAATTATTTTCGTTGACAGAGGCCATTTTAGCTTACACACAGACATTCATTCCCGGGAATGACCTATGCTCCTGGAATAAGTGCCTGGGGGACTACAACTTCTGGTATTTAAGGTCCGGGGGGCTACAATTTTTGGGATTTTAGGTCCGGGGGAGTACTATCTCTAGGATTTTGAGTCCGAAATTATTGATTTATATAAATAACTAGCATAATACTAACTTCATGTCATATGTCATTGAAAAGTAATATTTCCGCTGAAGCTCATACAGAGTGAGTTGTTAACTAAACAATCATGATCAAGTGTTCTTTTTTTTCAGTTTTGGATTTCCCAGGGAAATGTTAACTGACCAGGGAAGGGAGTTTAACAACAATTTGTTACATGCCATATCCACACCCCTCCAAATTTAAACACAAGAGAACCACAGCTTACCATCCCCAATGCAATGGTATAGGCCTACATGTCTGTAATGCCGTATATTGTCACTCATTTTAGCCCACAGTTTAGTTAAGGATTAGATTGGCTATTTAATATAATATAAATACTATATCATATTATACAACTCATCAGTTTGGTGAAATGAGTACATATTATTCTTTAATATTTATATATTGGATGAATTTTAAGATTAATCCTTTTTTCCAGAACGTTTTAACAAACCCTTAAGGACATACTGTTAAAGTACCAGGATGATCACCACTGGGACGGAGTTTTGGGGGGTGTTGTCTTTGCGTATAATACGGCCTTCCATGCATCGTCTGGTTTTTTTTCCTTTTTATCTGATGTTTGGAAGGTAAAGAGGAATATAAACTTTCTTCACCATAAATATTGAATTCTTTGACGTTTTATTTCAAAATTTTAAATATTATTTTCCACTCATTTTCTTTAGTGATGTAAGTAATGTTGAACAATGTCGTATTTTTATTATAGGTTATCTCGGATGGATATAATAAATAAAATTTAAGGAATGGGTAACTGTACATAAAATTAAATTTTATTTTGTCTTTAAAGAACCTGTGCTACCAACAGACGTGTGTATTAGTGATGGAGAAGAGTGTGACGAAGGCGTGCCAGGGCCCAGTAGCATAAATATGCCGACTGTATCTGAGTGCCAAAAAGAAGTGGAAACAAGAGTAAAGACGATGAACAAAACAGTGGGAGAGGCAGCATTAAGAAACATCAGAAAGGCACAACAAGAGCAAAAAAGCGATATGATGCTCGCCATGCGACAGATGAGGTAATACATTTCAATGAGTCATCACTGCTTTTATTATTTTTTTTTTGAAAAAAATTATATATATATATATATATATATATATATATATATATATATATATATATATATATATATATATATATATATATAATCAATAATACGACCGTTGTAAGTACACCGTTTGCCTGATATATAATCAATAATACGACCGTTGTAAGTACACCGTTTGCCTGAGCTTATTTTTTATTGTTGTTGTTGCTTATTTCATACATAATTTCCAATCATATAAATTTGATTTAATTATGATTAATCATTTCAAAAATACTTATCATAACTAAATATATTTTACAGGTGCTTACCATAGGTACAAAGGTTCTAAAACGCAATCTAAGATTACCAGACAGAAAAAGGTGGAAAGCAGGAAGATCCCTGGCTAGGGCCTTATGTATTGAAAATAAATATCAAAATCGGGAGCGTACATCCTACAAATTGAAGGGTGATGCACCCTTAAAGGTGCCGTCAACGGCTCCAATTTGAAATTTTATCTGACAAATAAATAGGTCTACTAAAATGAAAATAAATTTATTACAACTTCATATGTGTTATTTTTCATTATTAATTTTTTCATTCAGTTTGTGAATATCAAAATAATAAAGGTAACGGCACAGGTCATTTTAATACACACATATTATTATTTATTATATGTAACTTCCATTTAAGTGTGAGAGAAAAAGCCTAATCGGACATATAGTCCTAGTATAAATAAGAAAAACAGGTCCCATCCGTACTTGCGCTCCTTGCAATGGGACTTACATTCCTTGGTAACTGTTGTCCCACGGACGTTAAATCCTAGTAAAGCATGTCCCAGGACATCCATTCCTAGACACGCTAGACCTAGGACTTTCATTCCCAGGACTTAGTGTCCGGTCAGACTTGTGTTACTAGAACTACCATTCCGTTCACACCGGCTAGGACGTAGCTAGATCGCAGGGAATGAATCAAGTGATTGGTGATTGCGAGGAGTGCGCAAGGAGAAAGTGCGTGAAAAGTACGTGATGACCACAGCCTCCACACGGCAGAATTACCTGCTGCGCTCTACGGGCTTTCGCACGTGTTCCACGCGTTCCGTGCATGCAAAGTACTAGCATCATGCACCACGTACGTTATCCGTACTAAGAGTACGGGTAACGCAAGGACAACGTAAGTGGACGTAAAGCCTACACACACTGGACAATAGAAGTGTCACCCCCTAACTCGGAGTAATAAAAGTAGGCAGATCTTGGGTAGTTATAATGCCTGGTCTACTTATAATGTGACTAATAAGTATAAAACCGCTACACCATGGAATTGTATTGTTGGTCTTGTACATGTACAGCAAATGTTAATTCTGTCTTCCTCCAATATGGCAAGATACAGGCAATTATGTAACGGTTACAGGTGCAAGTTATTAACCTGAAGAGGCGGAATATAAGCAATGTCAGAATATCGATACAATTGAATTGTTCAGTCAGAACCGTGCAGAGGGTCTGGTCTCGGTATAGAAACACTGGATCAAGAGACAAATTGCGTCTGATGGGTCGTCCAAGAAAAACTACTGGCCGTGAAGACCGACGACTGAATTTGATGTCCAGGTTATCAACAAACGACACTGCATGTCAGTTGACAACACAGTGGAACAATTTCACACATAAGAATGTGTCTGTGAAAATTGCTAGGCGTCGGTTACATGCTCATAGAGTGTACAGCAGGGTAGCAAGACTGAAACCTCTTATATCGTTACAAAACAGGCAACGTAGAGTGAACTAGGGTCAACAGGATCTGGAACTGGACAGTCCATGACAATTAGTCCTATATATTTTTTTTTCTGATGAGTGTCGCTTTGGTCTGACCTCTGATGACAGACGGGTACGATGCTGGCGAACTGCTGGTAAAGCATTTGAACCACATGCACTGAATTTTTGAACCCGGAGCAGCATATTCATCATGGTGTGGGGCTGCATCAGCATCCATGGCATGGGCGAATTGATAGTGGTTGATGGAAACATAGAAATATATCGATATTTTGGAGTCAGGCTTGCTACCATCTATCACTAACATGTTTGGTTACAGGAATTATCCATTTGTTCACCAGGATGACAATGCTCCTTGTCACAGGCCCAGAGCAGTTGATGATTGGTTTGACCAACAGGACATTGGCAGGGTGACGTGGCCTGCCCAGAGTCCGGATGCAAACATAATAGAAAATGTGTGGAATGATATGTCAAAACTTTTGACAAATACCCGTCTAACCAGCAGAGAAACTCTATTATATCAGTGTTTCATGCTCGGGCCAGCGTAAGCCCTGAACGCATCAGACAATTATATGAATCCTTGCCTCGTAGACTGGCACCTGTTATTAGGTCACGTGGCTATGCCACTAAGTACTAATTTTTGACTTGAAACTGCATATTTTGGTAGAATGTATATTTTGTTCCCATTTTGTGATTTTTTGTGAAATTTGATGTTAATAAAATGATACCAGGAGCATATCATTACACAGTCATTTATCTCCCCCATAGTATTGGTTCAGTAGGGGTGACACTTCTATTGTCCAGTGTGTGTAGGTCCCAATTACGTTTTGGACGCAGGTTTTTTTTTTTTTTTTTTTTTTTTTTTTTTTTTTTTTTTTTTTTTTTTTTTGGTTCCTTGCGTCCAGCTAGGACGTAGCTAGATCGCATGTAGCGGCTGTTGATCATGTCGAAAAGTTTCTACGTGCTGTTTGCGTCCTCCAAAAGTCGCACGATGGACGTGCTCCTCACGCACGAACTCCCACGTTTCCTCATTTTTTTGGCCGTAGACCACACGTAGCAGCTCGTACGTTCGGTTGGGACCTAGGCTTTACTTGATTCCTTCCCTGCGATCTAGCTACGTCCTAGACGGACGTTAGGAACATAAAAACCGTGCGTCCATAACGTAGTTGGGAACTAGGCTTTAGGCAGCTTACTAGGGTCAACGAGAGACAAAGACTGTATTAACAAAACGGTTATGCATAATAACCTCTACTGGGGACCCAAATATTAATTATACACACTTTTTGAAAACGAAGTATACACCCCAGCGCAGTGGACTTACTGTGATCACACTGAAACCATACCTCAAATCTGCCCCAATTTAAGGTAAACATGGTGTATACTCTACAGAAGTACAGCTGAGCTAAGGGAATGGGACGTTACCACTTTTAACAACTTAACTGGTTACTTTTTTATAACACCCCTCCTCTTTTATGAAAGGATTGTGTTACTTGAACACAATGCATGTTTGCTCTCTGTCTTATCAACAGACAATAGTTTGGTAATTTATTGCAGCATGGGGTGTTATCTCTTAATTGTCTAAAAATTGTGAACACAGACATGTCAACTCTAATACCCTACAACTATCACCGTTAGTTAGTTAGTTAGTTAGTTTTGGTGACATGAATAACAAACAGATAACAATTTAGAACTTTCTGAGCTCAACTGTAGCATTGTACTGTAACCATGCTTTACAAAAATCTCAGTAGAAATGAGGCAAAATGCTTCACTGCAGTAGTACATAATTACCACGTTTCTACTCTGACACGCTCTACGATTCAGTTACGATACAGGTGCCAAAGAGTTACGAATATTCGTGGGATTCGGCTGGAATCGCACGAATATTGTCCAGAAATTCACTACGATTTCGTGGCCAAAATTTTGAACAGCTCAAAAATTTTGCCACGAATTCCCGATTGGTCAAGAATTGCAAGAACTGACTACGATTATATACGAATCTGTTAAGACCTTCACGAACTGATTACGATCCAACCACGAATGCTGAAATTTGTCAATCCCTGGCCATTCGTGGGATTCGTGGTCTGTGTGAAATAGGGGCATAAAGCGAATAAACATGTGTGTGAACTATAGCATTACCTTTCATTTCAGTCCAACCAATAGAGGTGGCACGCGAATCACAAATAAAATTAACTCTGCACATCGAATGCTGAACTGGTCATGGGCACCGAATTTTTCTCTTTACGCTCCGTTCCCCCGGAAATAGAGGGAGCAATGTGCGATTCACACGAGCTTAACAGAGAACCTGTCCGTTTGCATACCTTTAAGGAATGGCCTGACTGGGTGCCTGTGCCTGGGAACGAACTAGCTAGCGCAGGTTTCCATTATTTGGGAATCGAAGATGCTGTGGCTTGTTATTCTTGTCAGTGCACTATTAAGGACTGGCGTGAAGGAGATGATATAAACATGCGACATGTTGAAGCATCGCCTTTCTGCAGCTTCCTCAACAACATAGCTCCGAAGCAAGGCACCACAATATTCACTGACATGAAGCTCGAGGAAAACCGTCTCCATACATTCGGACGGTGGCCCCCATACACCTCTCCCAACCCCAGGGAGCTAGCAAAAGCTGGGTTTTGTGATATTGGCGAGGCACGCCAGGTTCAGTGCCCTTTTTGTGGTTGCACCCTTCAGCTTACAGATTTTGCAATTAGTAAGTATGATTTTTACGGTAAATGCATGTATATATGTAGTTTACATTTATTCCATTTAATTCATGGCAATTATGTATTTATGTGATTTGGAAAAGAATCGAATTGAATTGAAAAGTTATCATTGGCACATGTTCAACTTTGCCGAAAGATTCTGATATGTTAGTGCAGACGTAATATTTTGTTTGGTGCTAAATTATGTAAACATTGAATTATATTTGTGTCTGAAATTTAGACTATCTGGGATAACGCATAACTAAAGAAAATACTTGAAATTTAAGTCAATCAACGTCCTTTTAATACTTCTTCAAATAAGCCAAATAAATCACTTTTTGAGTGTTAAGAATATTAAGAATGATAATGATAATTTATAATATATTTTGTTTATTTTCCATATTTTTGTATAAATATCCATAAATTCTCCTTAGCACTCTGAACCCATAAGATGTTCAATACACATTTCACTACTATTGTAGGTCCCTTCCTTCCATTCAACCTGCATGCGCAACAGAGCCCTTCCTGCCCCTTTGTGAGAGAAAAGGAGAAACACAACATTCCACTTGATATCGATGATAAGCGTGGGTGTGCTGTGATCAAACCAGGTATAAATGTCTGAGTGTTTTATTTGTTCCTATACTATCCGTCCCCTCCCTTCCACTCAAGGCACCACAAGTATCGTGCAGCGCTTGAGGCAACTGTAACCTAGCTTTTACTAATTGGATATGGATCAGAATAACATTTGTTTTTTATAAACTGAATATGTGTTTGATGTAGGTTCACCACCCATAAGAGATAAATGGCATCATCTATCAAATATTGTAGCTTTTGTCTTTCTTTTTTCTACGTTTCAAGATCAACGTTCATAATACATGCACAGTCTTTGCATTGTCATTTAGGCCGTTTGCTTGCTGGTCCAGTCTATCCTAGATTCAGTGATATTGATAGTCGTCAGGAAACTTTTGAGACATGGCCGTTCCATCTTCCCACACTACCTAATAAGTTACAAACAGCGGGCTTCTTTTACAGAGGTGAGACACCTGTTTTAACGGCAGTTCTTTCATGTTTAATGAAAAGCTAGTTAAGATATCAATCGTAATTCAAATTTATTGTATGGTATTTATGTTCATTAATTGCGTCGCTGAATAAGCATTATGTTTGGTTTTGTCGCACTTTTATAAAATTTGAAGAAACTAATGGCAATAGGTACCAATACAATGGCAAATATACTAGTAACAACAACAAAGTATGAGAGCTTTATCTAAAGCGATGTTAAAAAAAACAACATCTCATAAAAGAATTATATTATATTAATGCTAAATTCTCAAGCCAAATCTTATTTACTTGAGAAAAAAATTTTAAAAAAATCTTAGTTTAAAAATTACATCATTGCTGATTTTACCGTTCTTATGGCCTGAATTTTGAAAGAAAGATAAATAGCTTTATCGGATATTTTGACATTTCTAAAAGGTATAGAATGCTGGTTATAAAGTGGAGAAAAATCAATATTAATATTGTGGTTTTGCAGGTTTTTCGGACAACGTCACATGTTTTTATTGCGGTGGACAACTTCGAAACTGGGAAAACAACGGCGGTTCACTGACAAATATAGCATGGATAGAGCACGCGCGGTGGCTTCCGAGATGTCCATTTTTGTTGCTTAAAAAGGGACCAGAGTTTGTTGATATGGTGCAGACAATATACCCACCTAAGGTTTGCTAAATAATGTACTTTGGGTTGATATCATAAACATATTAAGCAATATTAAGCAATGTATTTTCCAGGTTGTCGTATTAAACTTACCAGTCACCCAAGTCTGATTTATTTTCTCACAAAATAATATGCCAACCGAAAGCAAATAACCACTGTTTTATTTATTTATTTATTTATTTATTTATTTATTTATTTATTTATTTATTTATTTTGTTTGTTTGTTTGTGTTTTCCGCACAAGATTTATATTATTGCTTACTAACATGTTAATGTTCTATTTCCATTCAAAAAGATACCAGATGACAACTCTAGAGGTAATGAAGCCTATACAGCAGTTAGAAGTGATGATTCATTATTTGACATGGCAAGGCTACAATACGAAATAGATCAGATCGGTAAGTTTGTGCTGTTTCCTGTTAGCAAATATTCCTCCTCCCATATTAACTGTATGTATTGCATTGGTCGTGTACTTTACATGTGAATTGTATATGTTATCTATAATTATGTTCCCAATCATTAAGTATAAGCTTAGTTTTCTTTATCGTTTCTCCTCTGAGACCCAGTGGCATTTTGACTTTCATATTTGACTGCGTCAGTTTTGATTATTTTTCTGATGCATTGCCATTAAGGGTCAATTAATCAGTACATCATCAAAATCAACCTGCATTGGTATACATCTTCGTCAATTTTGTTAAGGCGCCTTCTGCTGGTATATTTCATCTCTCACATTGTTACAGGAAAAATTACAAAATTACAGAACGAAATTACAGAAATGGCAGGATCAATAAGCAGTCTTCAGATCCAACACGACGAAGCTTTGAGAAAAGTGAGGTGTCCAGTATGCATTGACCGGGAAGTCAATACTCTACTCAAACGTTGCAACCACGTCGTGTGCGAGTCATGTGCGCCAAATTTATCAACATGCCCTATATGTCGCAGTGTCGTCGATAATAAGGAACGATTTTATTTCGGATAAACGTGTTAATATATAATATTATAGTCAGGTCAGGTCTCGCCACCCTGAGCTTCAGAGCTAACTTGACACTAACCTATTCACTGT